ACACCATGTGGTCACCTCCGGGGCAGGTGGGAATCGAACTCATGCGGAAGTGGCTTTAGCTTCTCAGTGTAGTGCTTTAACCCGCTGCGCCACCAGGGAGGGCCCGGTTGACCTAAATTTTATTTTGGACTTCTCACTGGGAAAATAAACTTTATTTTGTGATTATTTTATATTGGTATAATATACTCAGGTAAATGTGGTACAATATAATCTGCATATGTAAACTTACATATTTTGTCTTATTATTGTATTTTTCTGTATAAAAATCTTGAATTGATACTCATTTTAATTTCTCCCAAGAACCATGTGTACACATTATTATTAAGCTGTTTATAACTTTGGCAAAATCAGTATGTGACTCATTAGTGCAGTGTTTCCAGTTAGAGAACAATTTCCTTTAAGTTTATGTGCCTTTGACCAATGAAGTACAGCATCAATGAATATGACTGTAATGTAGCTGGAATACAAGAGAAATGACTGCTACTGTTGTGGTGATGTATGTTCTTTCTTGGGGGAGAATGTGTGGTGTTTAAAAAAGACAGAAAAAGGAAAGGATGTTAGAGTATTATAACTAAAGATGACTGTTTCTTTATCTGATCCTGCTTGCTTTAGCTTGCTTTCTGGGGAAGCTGCTAGTTTCTTCTTCCTCCTTGATGAATTTCACTGATTTCATTTAAAAGAAAGCTCTACATGAATAGTCAATTCTATTAAGTTATCATCCAAAAGTTTCTTGTGGGCACAGCACCTTACAGTATCTTGTGTTACCGTAGTCTTGATAGGAATTTTGGTTTAGTGGTTACTTTAAAGTTTTACTTGAAAGTGTTAACATTAGAATTATATATAGTTATTCCATGTGCTTTTTCCCTCTTAAATATATTTTCCACGAGCTATTGCTTGACACCAGAGTGAAATAACTCATGAATAATGAAATAAGTAAAAAGATAATTAAACTTGCTCACTGTTGACAAACTAAGGAGTAACTTTTTTTTTTCATGGATTTACCTGTGTCTTATATAGAACCTTTATTCATAAAAGATTTCAGTTAGTGTCATGTTAAACTAAAATTATTCTAATTTACTGTGTCATAACCCACAAAAATTGAAAGTCACTGGGGACAATCATTTGATGCTAGACTCTTCCTGCCTTTGATCAGTATCTGTAATTTACATTATTTTATATGTGGATTTTTATCATTTCCCTTAAGATTCTCTAAGTATCTTAGAATATACAAAAAATGCTTGGGTGAGAGGTGTCAGAGACTTCTATTCTTATCTGGAGCTGCCTTACAGTGTATTGCATGATGGTGAGGAAGTCATTTTGTTCCTGTTTTCTGTCTCTTTCATCTGTATTAGGGATAACCTTGTCATCTTTACCTTTCATTATTCTTACGATGTCTTTTAAAAACTGGTTTTAAGTACTAAGATTTTAAAAATCATTAAAGTACAATTTGAAATGGTGCTTGCATTCAAGAAATAACTATCTTGTATTAGATTATAAAGAAAATTTAGATCCTAAAGACAGTCTGCCTTTAGAAGGCACTGCCTTTAGAAGTCTTCATATTTGGAGGATAATAGTAACTCAGTGAAATTGATTAATAAAATAAAATTGCCTGTTAATATAAAAAGCAGTAATGAACCCGGGGCTTCATGCTGCAGGGAGTATTACGCACGGCTACTTTGCGCCTCTTAACTGCTGAATAGTATGGAAAATGAACTGATACTTACAAAGCTGTTTGTTCTTGTGCATTATTGCTGTTAGATTGCACCATTTGAGATGGGTTTTAAAAGAGAAATATTGGTTGTAATTAGGAAAAATGTTTTTGTTTTCATATTTGACATTATTTTATAAATTCTTCCAAAATATTAGTTCTGTGTTCGAAAGATTAATTGAAGCTGTCAGTGTTTTTCTGCTTGTGCTCCTGGTTAATGTCGATCCACAAAATGGAAAGGGGTTGGGAAGAGGAGAGTCACTTTTAAGGCGAGTGTGTCTAAAGTGAAGCCAAATAAGTTGTCAGGTAACAAATAACTAGCTATTCAGATGAAAGGGGAGAAAAAACCTCTTATTTTCCTTTGTGTTTGAGAAAGTTTTTTCCCCTTTCATGGGAAATGGTAAATTTTAGACAATTTTTTTTGAGATTTACATTAACATGATGGTGTAATCTAATATGAAAATATAATTGTTAAGAGTTGAAAAGCTGAAACTACTAATTTTTAGTGCTTGTGCAGAATGTGTGTGATTCCTTCCCCTTCTCTAGTTTTGTGCTTGATGTTTATGTCTATGAGCAGTATTTTTTCTGGATATTGTTCTTATTAATTCTTTCTAACTTTCTCTTTCACAACTTCTTACTGGATTTGCTGTTTCCATCAGTCTCACCTCAAGGTCAGTATGCTTATACTAAACAGAGATATGTGATAGAGCTTTGTATAGTTACATTCTTGAACTTCTAAAAAGCAACTGAAATGATAGAACTTATTTCAGGAAAGAGATTTTTAGAAGTCAAGTTTTCAGCAGGTAAAATGTCAGGAGTTTTAGATTTTTCTGCTCTTCACAAGCCAGAGAGAAGTGAAGGTGAAAAGAGTGGGCCAGTGGGGAATGAAGAGGGAAATTAAAATTTCATCGGTGACACTTGGGCTTTTATATGAACAGGATAGAATACAGCATGAGTGATAGACAGTTGTTATAGTCTTGTGGATTTATGTAAAACCTTTTCTGTAATCACATTCACAAACCTCTAAACACTCACACACACACACACACACACACACTCACTCACTCTCACTGCACCACCACCCCAGCATACATACGCACCAAACACAACCTTTAAATTTTTTTTTTTGTTATTCTGCTGAGTGATAGAAGTGTTGGTAACAAATCAGTAACCACGACTGTTTTTTATATGTGCCAGAAACTGTGTGGTAGAAACATTGTTTTATTTCATTTGCTCATCTTGAAAAGTATGTAGAGAGATTTATTGTCTACACCTTTTAAGGTACATAACACAAGTGCTGTCCATCTTCATTAATAACTTAGTAAGAGAAATTGGCAGAAAACAATAAGAAATTGTATTTTAAAAGTTATTTTGAATACAAGTCATGGCAATGTAAATTATGAGAATTTCTGAAAACTATTGTTAACACCACATGTATTTTAGCACCTCTTTTGTAATAACTCTGGTATCATATATCTTTACTGTTTATAAAAGCACCTGTGTCTGTCTCATTGCTGGTATATGGGTTACAAGGACAAATAATTATTCTAGAAGAACTAAGAAGAGGAAACATGATTTCTCTAGGGTCAGCAAACTAGTAAGTATTGGTACTTAGATTTGAGCCAGATTTTCTTATTTAAACCTCAGAGTCCTTTGTACTATTTATATACTGTCTAGCTTAGGAGTTAAGAGTGCGAATTATGGAGTCCCAGGTTGCTTGACATTTCCTCAGATTTCTCATCCATAGTTTTTTAAAGTCTTTAAAATGGTAATAATTAGCTAATCTAAAGAGTTGTAAATAATGAGAGCTAATACAAATAACAAAGGTTGAAACAAATAGTTCCTGGCTCTGGTAAGCAATCAGTAACTGAAGCTATTGGGATTATTTCTTTTTGCCTTCTTTATGGAGTTCTGTTTGATCCAGCACCTCACAACAAGAAGTCCCATGCATTTCATGGCCTTTAGAAAGACTGGACTGTCTTTATTGACTCATGTTAGTATCAACAGGAGGTGCAAAGCTGAATTCCAATGCAAAGCTGTGTATATGTAGAAAAAGAGAAAACATGACATGTTTTTTTTGTTGTTTTTGAAGACTCTACTTGTCTTTGTAGATGCTACATTTGCATTAAAGATTGAAAGATGAATTCAAGGCTTTGTTGGAAAAAATTTCCTTTTCCCAGTTCTGCTCCTTGATATTTCTTATGCAGATAGTGTGGTATACATCTAATGATGAATGGAAATGTAAGGAACTTAGTAAACTGTCAAAGCTTAAACAAATGTAGATCCTCTTGCATTCCAGAGCTCTTTCCTCCTGGACAGTGCTTTCAATTTGTCTTTTTATTTTTAAAGATGTATTTTTTAATTTCTTTGTGTATATTAAGAACTCGGTGTAGGCCAGAGGTATGGAGGATGAGAGGATTCACCAGAGACAGATTGGGGAGCAGAACAGGTGGATCTACTAAAATACACTGCTGAGGGGAGCAGCAGGCAAGACAGGAGAGGTCTGCTGTGCCAGGGGATCAGCTCCCAGGCCTGGAATCCAATCCATGCTGTGGTGGCTGGTGATAGCTGCATAGTGCTGAAACTTAACCCCTAGTGTCACCAGGGAGGTTCTCAATATATTTTTAAATATATTGGTAAAGTTGACGATAACCTTTGATGAAAATGGCTCCACCTATCACCTGGTATTTGGTCTAATTTTCTGGCAACTATAAGGCCTTGAAGTAATTTTCTCTAGATGTAAAATTACTCCCTGACTCTTTCTATAAAACCTTTGTTTTCTGTTTGGCCTGTCCACATAAAGTAAACAAAAATCATAGTGTCTTACATTTACTTAGTGTCTGATAGCTTACAGTATTCTTTAACATTTATCATTTAATGTAAGTGAAGACTTTCTGTGGAAGTGAAGTTTTTCTTACTGTGTCACACTAATCATTTCAAATGGAGAATAATAGTACCTTTTTAGAGTCAAAGTACATAGGAATACTACTCAATTTAGCTGGTCTACTAGCTTAGAACTAACGCCTACTTTCTCTCAAGTTATTGAAGAAAATGAAATGAATCAATATGAGAATGATGTACTTAACCCTTTTGAAAAAAGAAAAAAAACACTGAATGATGAAATTTTTTAAGAACAAAGAAAGTCCCATGGGAAATCTAGAGAGCAGTGGGTTTTAAACCTTGCAATGTGTATGCCATCTTCATTCAGTATTTGCTGTCAAAGATTTACCAAATAATCAAGCAGAGAGGTTAAGTATATGGTAGTGGCAGTCAGAACTAGGTTTGAATACTACTATGATTTATAAAGTTATGATTTTGATGGTTTGATCTTTTAATCTATAAAATGTAGTAAATATTACAAGAATGTTTATAATAGGATGATATGTGATAATATGATGATAAGCATTCAATGTTTGGTCTGTAATGCCTAAGGTTATTACAGTGTTATATCTTAGTGCTATAATAGATCATTCAGTACACACATACCCCACCTAAAATGTAGGGGAAAAGCATAGTTCACATTTCTTTGGAATGGAAGGGGAAATTAAGATAAAAAATTTATATATTAAAATGAGGTAAGTGCATGTGTGTGTGGTGGTGGAGGTATGTATGTGTGTGTGGGGTGAATGTTATTCTGACCTCTTGTGGTATGCCAGTTCGGATGTCCATCATATTATTTATTCTACATAACAGTACTGAGAGATGGGCGTTACTCTCATATCATAAATTAAAAATATTAGAAAATAAAAAATACTGAACTTGAAAGAGAGTAGTGATCACATAAGTAATGAGTGGTAAGCAATATTGAATCCAGCATTCTCTTGACACTTAAGACTTTTTCTGTAAACCTCCTGATCCGTGTATTCCTGTCACTGTACTCCTCATGCCCTGGGGACCATGTACATGGTTTAGATTTAGGAGTTTACCATGCGATGTTAGCATTTTCTGTTAATTTCAGTGATGATCAAAAACAATTTATATGCGTATTTTAGATCATGTGGGTGAATGTTTCATAACTAAATAGTGTATGTAGTTGCATCATCCATTTTGGAAGTTAAGATCTTGTTGCCCTCAAGTATTGATCACTGTAATTATTGTGGGAAGATCACTGAATTTATTGTGGGAAGATCAGTGTAATTATAAAGAAAGAACTAGGTGAACCTTTTACATAATGCTGCTTTTATTTTAAGCAAATTTCAAAAGATGTTATAATGTACTGTATGAAATAATTTGCTTTTAGCAATTTGGCAAATAAAAGTTTTGGGATAATTTAATCTATTTAATAGAACTTTTATCAAGAGTACTAAGTACCATGCTTATGCTGGAGAGCAGTGACTTAACTACAGATTAAAGCTGATAATCTTAATTTCTCTGTGTATTTTAATATTTCTTATGTTTAATTTGTAGACTCTATAGTTTTTATTATAATTTATCAACAGGGATTCTAGAAAATAGTTTCCTTTGTAACTACACTGTCTACTATATGTGGTTCAGGTGCAGCACCTTCACTCACAGGGAGGATGCAGTCCTGCTCTGGTTAGAATTGGAAAGTTTTGTTAAGTTGGTGCCATTTGACCTTTAACTTGTAGAATGAGTAGTGTGTTTGCTGGGCAGACACAGGGCATGGGAAAGAGTAAGGGCAGCAAGACATCTGAAAAGGCAAAAACTAAGACAAAGACACTCTGAAACCCAAAACTTAACTGTGTAAGGAAGTAATGAAAATATGGTATGACTGTTAAGGACCTTTGTACTTATTATGAGAATTTGGATTTTATTATGCAGTCAGTATGAAACTAACAAACATAAAAAGCAGAGAATGTAAACTAAACTTTTATAATTTAATTGTGTGAATACTGAATTACTTTCCCCTTACCCCTTGCCTTACTCACCCCCTCCAAATACCAAATTTCTGTATATTAAATCATGTTTAACATAAAACCTGAAACCTACTGGCTAAAGACCCCTTGAAAGTGGACTGCAAATGTTTTGTAATGAAAATAAATTGTCCTTAAATCTTCAAATTTTTAAGTTAAACTTTTAATTTTTTTGTCTCCCTCTGTTTGCCTGACTCACCCTTTATTAATGAAATAAGAAACTTTAAGCTTTATTCTCTCATTCATTTCATTAGAATGCTTCAGTGATTAGTAGTGCTGTAAAGATTTTTACTGTATTTTAACCCGAATTTAGGAAGAAAGCCACTCATGAAATTTTCTGGTCAGTAACATTGGCATCAGAGAAAAAAGACTTATCTAGATTCCCACAGTAGTCTCCAACTACTATCTCTTCATTATGCATCTTACAGAGAAATATCCAAGTTGAATGTGTTTTTAAACTGAGCTCTGTGAAATCACCAGGTGGTGACTTTTTTGCATGTACAGTAAAGTATTATGCACTGTGATTGAAGTGTATAGGCATAGGTTTTATCATTGCCATAGCCTTAGGTGGGAAGGGAGAGTTAAATAGATTAATATGTACAAAAGCTCTTTTCAGTTGGAAAAACAAATAAGATAGCAAGAAATAAAAGTTACACGTGTTTCATTTTTCTGTCTCTGCTAGCAGTTACTTTCCTAACTTATTGGGCCAGTAGTCTCCATAGACAGGATGTCCACCAAGAATGTTGATTGAATACTTGCTTCATTCTTTGAGCCATGAGACTTCTAACAGAGAAATA